CCCCTACGCACCATGACGGAGTAGGACGGCACCAGCGACGAGAAGTACTCGCCGGGCTTGACGTGCACGGCCACCGACAGGCCGTTGGTGAAGCCGCAGGACGAGGTCCTGTGCACGACGGGCACCGTGGGGCCGACGCAACCGCGCGAGCGCGGCCGCCACCTGGAGGGAGGGTGCAATGGAGGCGTGTCGCTCATGAAACAGACGGGACACGGACCCGGTCAGAGGCATCCGCGGAGGCGAGCCGAGGCGAGTCGGGAGGCGCAATCCATTTTGATCTGGACATTGCTGTGCGTTATTGTGCTGGCTGGCTCCCGGACCCAGTACTTGAACACGTTGCATTCTGGGCGGGGAAGGGGGGGGGGTATAGTAAACACAGCCTATTGTGGCCATACGTGTGGCTACATTGTTGAACAGATGTTAAAATTTAAAGCAATATGTGACGCAAACAATAATAGGCCAGAGAGCGGGAGCATCACTACAGCAAGTAAACTGTGTCCAACGAGCCAACCAGCACCTCCCCCGCCTTCCCTCCCTAGTCTTCAAACGTAGGCGCAGGGTTTAGGGCCTTACGTGATGGAGTCCAGCTCCCTGTCGGCGTAGTTGAAGCTGCAGCAGTAGCCGTACGCGGTGCGCACCTTTCGGAACAGGTCGGAGCACTGTGCGCACCTCTGTCTCTTCCAGCGGCACATGACCAGCATCTCGTCGCAGGAGGGGGACACCTGCGGAGCGACAGCACGGTCGGCGGATTGAAAGTGTTGATAAAATCGGTGCGGGTGAGAAAAGAGCGTGCAACGAATTGTCATCCTCACCGAGAACATGACATCGTCCACACTCATCCCGTTTTGGTCTAAGACTTGTTGCAAGCGGGCGAACCGGCTGGCGTTTCTGGCCCTGGGCACGATGAGCTCCACCAAGTACGCCATGTCCGCAACGATTTCTTCCTCTGTCACGTCCTCGGGCAGGATCCTGTGTGTGTCCGCAAGACAATCTGTGAGACCCTTCAGAAGCGCACCCAGTAGTGTCTCCCTCACACAGCTGTGCCTCCCTCACACAGCAAGTGTCTCCCTCACACAG